TTGGTCACTCATGTAGGCCTAATATCTCTAATAATAATTTAAAATAAAAATATTCATAAATAATATATTAAATCAAAGTTGCATTTTAACATGGTCTAGCATTATTCAAATTACTGGGAACTCAAGTAAGTATGTGTGGCAGCAACTTTATCAAGGTCAATCTAAGCAGGCAGGAAAAAATCAACTACTCATACTTTTGACACTAACTCTTCAAAAGTTCAATTAACTTTAAAGTACGTGAGTTTATGAGAAATTCGTTTTTTTCCCATGTTAAATTATTTCTATTTTGTGAATAAATAGATTTAGACATGAATAACGACATCTATTTTTGGGTTTTTACGAACTCCCACTTTCGCAACGATGGCCATGTCTAAAATGAAGAAGACTTATGAAAATTCTGGGGCTTTCATATTTCAAGATGGTCCTATCCCTAATTTCATGTAAAATTTAATTATTATCCCAAAGCTTGCATAGCAAGAAGAGTTTGGTTGTATACTCCTAAGTTAAAGTAGTGAGAGGATTATGCACCATCTCATTTTAAAGTTAAAGAGACAGTTTTCCATACCAACAGAATATCGATAAATTCTATTGGCCAAACCATTAAGAGATCATCGAACTTTTATTGTTATCTAGTATGAATGTGCATGGTTAAGGGGGAAATTGCTTTCATTGATGGCCATGTTCTCCCTTTCACTCCTCGATTTGAGGGGGTGATGCACTTGATTGATATAATCTCCTTGAGTTAGATTGTAGGTCGAGACTAAAGTATCACTGAATTGTATTACAATGTACTTGTGACCCCATGGTATAAATTAGCTAACAATGTAATTTATGCAAATCATTTATGTTTTCCCCAAATATATTTAATATATAAAATCTTATCGTGCGCTAAAAGAGGATATTTGAAGTGCTCAGTTTAAACCATAGTTTTTTGTATGATCAGAAACATTTAAATTCCGAAACATACTTATTCAGTTAATAGATAATATGATATCAGTTTAAAAACCCCGTTACCCTTCCTTACGAAATGCCACCACCAAATAAGATTTTTCTTAAACTACCTTACTTTACATAAATCCAAAGTAACGCCTATTCTACCATCAAATTCTGGATGTAGAGGCCAAATGTCGTAAGAAATCCTAATCTTTGGTCTCATTGGTTGAAAATTCTCTACCAATGACAAGCCTGCGATAGCTCCTAGAGTAGAGCCATGTGTTATATTGTACGTCTGTCTGCCTTATGCTCTTGACACGCATAGGAGCGAAAAGTCTGTTCGGCTTGGGATAGCTATAATCTAGTTTTGCTTATATCAGAAAGCATTCTATCAAATGGAGAATTGTCCAGTTTCGCAACTGCAACTGTGATTACTTGTGTGCAATTTATTCGTAATCGTCATGCCTTCTTAAAACAACCCAAGAAAGTTCATCCAATGCCGATAATGAACACCAGTGTTGGGTACATCGGTTGTTACGGCGCCGGAGAGGAGTGTGATATCAATCGATCCAATGTACTTGACTTGCTTCATGTAAAGATTGCCATCACACTGCCTTATCTGCCATTGTTGGTGCTGGCAGTTGGAGGTAACCTTCTTGTCTGCAAGACCATCCTTTCTCGAATGCGCCCTTCTGTGACACATTTCTTTCTGCTTAACCTCAGCCTCACCGATATCCTATCCACTTTTGCTGTGATCCCCATGACAGCCCTAGCTGACCTCTGGTTCGTTGATTGGCCATTTGGTGACTTTATGTGCCGCCTAGTTCCCTTCATTCAATGCCTTACTATACAGTCAACCAGCTTGACGTATGTGATTATATCATGCGACCGGTTTGCTCTTGTCTTTCGGCCGTTGCGTTGGCGCAGAAAACTCTCGCTTTCGCGCGGCCGACTAGTAATAATGCTGGTTTGGCTGTTGGCCGCTTTTCAGGGGATTCCGCTGTTCTTGGTGAATGAGCTTGTCATTAGCGAGATTGGAGAAGCAAACGAACTCGAAGATAAAAATAACCGAGCGGAGAAAAACCCAATTGGCATAGGAAATTATACTTCTCTTAAGCTCAACGGTTCTGTGGAGGCTCTCTGTTTTTCCAATCTGGCATCGAAAGACTTGGTGTATTCGAACCCTAATTCTGCATCAGTTGGTTCTCGCAGTGCGGAGGCAAGCAGCCAGGCGAGCGGAACCCGGGTCCATTGCCAAGAGACATGGACCCCACGGGCCGGTACCGCCTATGGAGTTACGCTGATGACGCTGCAATACGTATTGCCCTTGTGTCTGATAATCTCATCCTACGCCGCCATTGTTTGGCGTCTCTGGGGCCAATCTGCGCCTGGAGAATGTGACGTTGTGCGCGACAAGCGGATTGCAAGGTCTAGACGAAAGGTATGTAAGGGACAGCCAGCCTCTTAGGCTACTTTCCAAGAGGGTCGCACGAACAAGGCGAAATCATAGTTTGACGATAATAAAAGCTCATATGGGGGGAAATTTGCATATGAAAGGCCGATATATCTTGCTGTTGAGTCCGCATATTTGCACAAGTAACAGAAAAACATAATTTACGATTGACTCAAGACTCATAGCTTCTACATTGTAAGTGTACTGCTCTCAATTTGGCCTATACAAGGAGTTTGCGATCCCGATAGCTAGTCTTCCTATGATGAATTGAATGCAATTAGGCTATTATATTTATTGGACTTACGGATTACGAGCAGAGCTAGATTTACTTTAAGGATAGGGAAGTTAGTAGAATTACAAATTATGCTGAGAAGAGCTGACTCTAGAAAAAGACAAAAACAAGCACATTTTATAACAAATGAGCAAACAATGATAGTTGTTTTTTTTGTCAACCTTCTATAAAAATCGTTTCCGGAAAAAAATGAGTCCACCTACCATAAATTACAATATTACCTGAGGTAACTTTAAAGACAGAAAATACCTGTTTATGCTTTCGTGTCTTGCTAATTAAAGCCTACAATCGAAATAATTGTATTGCTTTCGTTGGGTATAATATCGGATGATATAAGTATCGGGGGTATAAAAATCGAAATTATTTCAACATACAGCCTTGTGTTTATTATTTTAGTAAAATGCTATGGTCTCCCTTTTTCATCCGACTATCTTAACAAATAAGAAAATTTATAAAATTTAATCTCTATACTTTATTCATCAGTACATTCAACTCAGTGACCAATAAACTAGGCAAGACACAAAAACTTAACAGACTAATGCCGTAATTGGCTTTCGATATTTATTTACACTTCTGACGGTTTAGTAAATTGTTGAAAATCATGGTTCAATTGAAAAATGGAATGGAATTTCTGTAATGAGCAAATATCATTGATCAGTATTGCTTTTTTAACTTATTCCTCCTTGAACATCTTAGTGGTATTTGATGGAAGTTGCAAGGCACTTATCCTATACCGCCTTCTCTATCATTGTTTATCTCTACTTTTCTAACGCTCAACCACTGGCAAGATATATTCTTACACGATTTATCAGAATTTTAAACGGCATTGATATCGAGGGACGTCATCTCTAGCACCAAACTTCTGGTAACCAAAGGGACAACTATGTTCAGTCTGCTTCGTTTAAATAATTCAAGACTAATAATTTAAATATGATGAATCCAGTTCTTATTCAAAATCTATGAATAGTCTTGAAAGCCTACTTAAAAAGGAACAAACGTGGCATCTAAAGTCATTAGTCCTTATTTTCCTTTTTCCTTCAATTACTTGTAAGATTGGCCTCAACTGCCCTTTTTTTAGTTGTATCTTTGAGCCAAGGATTGCACTACTTACAACTAGCGGATCAAAAACAGAACAAAAGGGCAAAAATACACTACTGGTACATTTCTCTAACTATCCCTGATAACACGACACATTCCCTCTATTCGGCAAAAAGAGACTGCCACCAAGCCACAGGCCACACAATCATGGTCTTCATATTTGCAATGAGAAGTTGAGCATTTTTGAACATCTCCTCGGTTGAAGATAACGGTTAATAAAACGTCACTTCGCCTCCATGATGAGCTGTGGCCCAATCTTGCCCGTGCATTCAGGAAATAGTCGCAGAATTCCCGGTTTTCGATCACGGTTAGAGCCCTGCTTGAGAAGGTAAATTTTAATATC